TTCAGCAAGACTATTAAACTTCTTGATTTTTGATAGGGTGACCCATGTACTCACAGAAATACAGTCCACCGCTGATAGTTCGAGACTACCACTGAAGCGTGCACATTCGCCATGCCGAGACCAACTTTCTGACAGTATGATACTATAAATAGCCATGGCACGTGCAATTCTCTACAAATCTATCAACTATTACAGCCGTAAAAAATTTATTGTTGACGATTTTGAATAGCAGTAAAATTAAGCTTCTTGGTTATTACAGCAGATTTAGAAATTACGTTTGTTTCATTTTTTAAATCGCTTTATCATTAACTGTACCGTTAAGAGCGGCATCTTTTGGTTTAGTACAAATAATATCTCTGAATCACTCGGGTTAGACAGGAACATGATACTAGCAGTAGTTTCATTTTACTTTTACAAGCTTCGTAAAACGATTGTTGAGCTACCTAACGTGCTTATTTCTAAATTCAATTTCTTGTTCTAGCTTTCTGTTATGTTTCGTAAAAAAGTAGTCTTGATTATCCCGACCTGTCAATCAGACGTAGAATGGTCGATAGACTGGTTAAGCGAGACTAATTTCAAAACAAGGGCACGTAACCTTTTACTCAAAAGTGTCTGGATGTTATGAACGACTCTTGGAACCAGTTTTCAGTCTATTATCTATACATGATTAATGGTCATAGCTTATTAAGTACAACATGATCGTTTATTTAGTGACTATAATTGTATGAAACTGATTTGAGGCTTGGCATATATATAAATATTGTGGCGTAATTGTCGAGATATATGGAGATATTTATTTATGGTGGGTCACCCTATTTTTGAATAAGATAAAAAAAATTGTAAATCATAGGAACTGCTATTATACAGTCTTTGTTTAGGTTTAATAGCATATCCAATTATTTAAAAAGGCATAAGTTTCTGTATTAAGCATATCTCCAACTAATATAGGCCACCACAGTTACTGGAGTGGATGCTTGCTTGGTTCTGTGAGATTTACTTGTCAAAAAGGATATAATCCATGAAGGCCAATATTTACGAAACATATACCCCAGACAGTCTACTTCGATTGGATAACCTGCACTAATACTAAATGATAACGTGATTATTTGTATGTCACAGCGATATTATGACTTCTCAACTTCTGTATGGTATACCATTAGTCAGAAAACGAGTGAAGTAGGACTAGGAGTGATATAATGTTTAGATATAGGTGTGGTGATTGTTGACTCCAATACATTGTGATCCAAGATAACATAACTCTTCGGTAACTATATTGTATCTCCAGGTAGTGATAGGAAATACCATGACCATGTGGGATAATGGTTTTAGACTTAGGAATCCAAATGGTTTTAGTCAGTTGAAAACCTGTAGATATAACACATTGGTCTATAGGTAGTTTGAATTATATATATGTAGCTGATACAGCGGCTGTTGGATAAAGTAACTCAACTGACAAAATTGCACCCAATGGTGTTTTTACGGAAAAGAACTGAAGTATTAGAAGTACATACATGTATATTAATCCTATTCAAAACTAACATTAATTATTAATCAGCTTTATAGAAGTCAGTCTAATCCACTGCTAGGTCAATTGTGCATAATGAATCACTTCACCTGGATTGCATATAAATCAAACTAATGTCTAACTAACCAGTTATAGTATGTTCTTGATCCTGTTCAGATTATATTGATTTTTTTCAGAAAAAGAATATATTTTGATATGCATTCAAAGGCCTGAAGCGTGAAGACCGTAAAATCCAGCAATTATTTATGACTGATTCTGTTCACAATTGAGAACTTCTGAAAAAGTATTGATTAAAGATTCTTTGTATTTGTAAAGGATATTAGTTATCAAATTCTGGAATATTATTTATTTATCATTTCATTATCTCTTAATTTTTATTTCATTATTTTTTCACGACTTCACAAATAAAAAAATCTTAGTACGCTGATGTTGTAAATGTTTAACTTAAATTTAATAATGTTACAATTCTTTTTCAAATTTAAGATTCTAAATCTTTAGGTACTTTTTATATATTTTTCCCCTCTCTAATTTTACTGTATATCATTTTTATATTATTAAAGATTATTTTCCATATGTATATAAAAAAAACCATAAATATTTGTAGGTAGCTTTGATGAACTGATTGTAGTAACAATTTGCCCAATGAGAAACCATGTTTATCGAAATGCATTATACTAGTATAATAAAGCTGGATAACAATTTTATATAAAGATTTTTATACATAATTTGATTCAATTCTTGTGAGTGCTCTAGAATTATTAACTGCACAAGGGTATGATGGATTTATGAAAGGGAAGTGGACCAAAATATTTGTATCAAATTGATATTATGGTTGGGAACTATTTGAAGTACCTAAGTATGCAAACATTTTTCTACATAAATACCCACAAATAATATTTTGGTTATTTAAATCAGTTATTGGATGCCTCTGATTATATGACCTTTATGTATGTAATTAGTATGGAAGGGAATAAATAAATTTATATTTTAATGGAATTATCAGTTTTGACAAGATTCAAACTGATTTAAAGAAGCTTTGATAGTGATCAGTACCTGGTTGTTTAATACACTGTTACAGATATTCTTTATCCTCCACTCCAGGGAGAAAATTAATGTCACCTTTCTTTCATTTTATTTTCAATCCTAGCTCCTTCACCTTCAAAATTGCTCCTATGAGCCGGACATATATGGACAAGCAGCTACTATATATTTATACTATGACTATGATAACTACAAAGCAAATCTTTCCATCACATTTCACTGTGACCTATTTGAAATTCCGGGGGATGGTCGAATGGTTAGCACATGTGCACTGTATCATAATGTCTGTCATTGAGTCAACTGGCATGGTTTCGATTCTCCGGTTGTACGTGACAAGGAGTAAGGTCGTCTGTCCAACCTCGTGGGTTTTCTCCAAGTCCACTGGTTTACTCCCACTGCTAAAGACCCTTACGCGCAAGTGAATTATTGAAATAGTTAGTACTGAAATGACCTAGTTTGTGTCAAGTGGACGTTAAACCCTATTTCTCTTTCTCGGTTTGAACTTCTATAACCCCAAGTGGCCTGACACCTTTTGTTTTCAGTTGGCTAAACGGAGAGATGGTGTATGGAGGTCAAACAACGGTGCCAATGCCCACCAACAAATTTACAACAAAAAAAATGGTTAAATATGTGATATCTACAAAAGAGAAGTGTTAAAGAATAAGCATTATGTTAGCTACCTCTTATTTGTCTTTTACGCTACTAGTATGAAAGAAAATGTTTTAATTTGTGAGGATTTTCTGCAAACTACTCATCTGTTTTAAGGCTGTAATAAAATGATGTCGACTGAATGATAAATGGTCTTCTAGTGAGAGCATTTTTGTTATTTCTTGCCATAGCTAAACCTTGTTGATTTAGGTTAAAATAAAAATGCTGAAGCGGGTTGATCGGATGTGTTATTTCGATTATGGGGAAAGATCTGTAATTGGTATGTTTTTGTTTTGAAATTTTAGGCATGAGTCAGTTTGTTTATTGTATGTGTGTGAAATCGCTTTATTTAACGTCCGCTTCCACCAAGTGGTATCGCAGACAATTTTTTATTGCTATTACTTATTAGGTTCATTATTACACCCTTTCTCCCCCCCCCCCACATGGAAATGTATTGTCGGCGTCGGCATCCTCGCCTGTCCCTCATCCACAATTTCCTGTGAACATTCTACATTTCAACTTTATATATCTTATTTACATGAGTAAAATGAAGAATCCTATTGAATTTTTTGTGAATACTCTACAGACTACATTTATTTATTTGAGTGTTGTTTAAATTAGTGAGATGAAGAATCCTATTGAATTTCAACTATGATAGAGAACACGCGGGCGAAGCCCAAGTGTTCTCTATCATATCAAACCGAGGGAGAGAAGTTTATATCCGACATATACAACATCATAGTTTTAATCCCCCTTAAAAATAATTGCTTGATAGTGTCCGCCAAATAACGAAATGTATTAATCACGTGAATGCATTGTTTATACTGTCGCCATTTTGGAGTAAATATAGGTTCAATTGAATTGAAAGCAAAAACAAAATGGAGTATAATACGTTATCAGACGAATAATCAATCCTTTTTAGCCAACAGATTGGCGGTGGAATAGATGTAAATGCAAATTCCGACAAGATCTACTAGTTGTTGTCATAGGCTGAAGAAAATTGGATCAAAAGGCAATCTTATCCGATAATTCTGACAGTGAACCATGAAGGTTTTCGGTATGTTCAGAGGAGGATTTGACCGACTGTGTTTAGTGGACTTTCAAGCCCTGGAGTGTGTGGAGAAATAATCGAAATGTGGACGAAAAGAAAATTCTGAAAGATATCTTAGACATGGATAACGGATCTAAATATATGCCAATAAATATGCGTCTATTTCGGTGTTGGATACTACAAACTGTAGCATTGCCTGGTAATCTATATTTTATTACTGTATCCCATCGAGTTATATAATAGAAACTATAACTCTATGCTGTGTCCATATTAGAGCACAAATCCTTTGTATCTAACTCTACACTGAAGCTAATTCTTCAACGAAGACTGGTTGCATCCCCCCCCCCACCAAAAAAAAAATAAATGGGCATTTAAAAATTTAAAATCGGTAAAGTTCATCCAAGGATCAGGAAATGAACAAACTCGAAATGGGGAAATCATCAACGAAAATGACCTCACTGCCTATAATTGACCAGGCCGAGAAAAAAAATTGAAAAGGTCAACCCTTCAATATTTTTATCAGCTGATTGTGAAATTATAATCATCAGAATGCTCAAAAAAGGATTATAAGCCAGGAAATGACATGGATTTGACATTATGAAGTCGTTTGGGAAGAATTATCAGTCTGTGCCCTTCGCCGAAGTTGAGTTGTGTTCTCTTGGTCTTGGTGGAGAGTGCCAAAGCAATTTTGATTTTTAGCGTCTGGATAATCTGGTTGTTGCTAGGCAGTGCTCGTTACCGTAGTGTGTTTTTGTTCGGAGATTAAATGATGTCACCGGAAATAGCTAATGCAACACAGGTTGAGTCTTGTCATCACTGTCATCAGAGCTGAACGTTGTCTATCAAACTTAATCATAGCAACAATCGTTGATAACATTCGCGCTAGCAATCATGGTGAGTATTAATATTAAAAGTAGACTTAATTTTGGTGTTGAAATTATTATTTTTGCACTGGTTAGGTGAAAAATATGTGTACCTAAACTAAAGTAGGCCTACTATTGAGTAGTGTTGTTGTTGGTACAAATTTTACAATTTATTTGTAAAATTCCATTTGGGACAAACCCGTTAAAGTTAAGGCTTTTCATTAAGTAAATAATAATTAATAGCCGTCATTCATTCATAATCAGAAAAGCTAAAAACATTGTGATGTTTATATAATTAGCTGCAAAGCATTATGGCATATGGATTCAGCCAGACAGACATGAGACAATAATTATTTGAATTTGGATTTTGAAATAAATGGCATCAAATATTACTAATTAGTTCAGCTCTGAACATAAGCCAAGTTTTCCTTACAGTTAGGTCCAGTCGACCGCAGTATGTAAAATCTTAACCAAAATACATTGCTGTATGAAGCCGATTTGTATGGTTTGTGTTAATTTAGCCGCCGCATAGTGGCATAGCCAGGTAACATATTTTGTTTAGGTGTAAAATATGCCAGGAAATAGAGTTAGAGAGGTGACCTGCGGTTCCATGAAAGAATTCAAGACAGTTTCAAACATTTCCACGACCGTAGCACATCATAATACATAAAAAAAAAAATATCACTTTGGAAATAAAAATAATTCTGTATAGAACAGTCTATCTCTGAACCGTATGCTGAATTTGTCATTTTGATAAAATGGGACACAAATCATCAAATGTGTCCTATACTGTGTACAGTAGGCCCTATAGAGTACTGATAGGGTACTGGTAGATAGCAGACGATATATCACCCTCACAAGTTCAATGTAAATAGGATAAACCATTTATATTGTTTAATTGTCCTGCAATTAATACTAGATAACATCTGTTTGGTTGTAAAATGGTGGAAACAGAGCCCCAGAGTAAACAGTAGTGGATAAGCGGTGTGACCTGTGGTTCCGAGAAAAAATTTTAAAATGATAGGCCTATGTATCAGAGAATTATAACCACGGATTGGCCCTTCTAAAATAAAGAAAAAATAAGTCTTATAAATATCAACTTCTGGTACTGGTTGGTAACCCTTTTACCTAAATGGAAATTACCTAAGTTCCATTTTAACAATACATATATTTGTAAAGTTACATTTCAATTTCAGTGAAAAAATAAGACCTTTATACTTTGCCAGACAAAACACTGTTGAAAACAGGTACCCATCTGCCAATTTACAGTCTGTTAAACTAGTAGCGTTACACACAAATTGTAGAATGTCTGCGATATGAAGACGAAACAAGTTTTAAGAACCTCCCACTCATTTTCATTTTTCAGTCAGGGGTGTCAAACTCATTTCGATTCAGGGGCCACGTGAACTAAAATTTTAATCAAGTGGGCCGGAGATATCAAGATAAAGAAAATTTTATTGATTTATTTGTCTAAAATTGTAACATATTATTATTATACACAAGTTCTCTTGTATTACATACAAAATTACAACTTGGATATCTATGACATGCAGTACAGAAGTCAGAGTTTTACTGAAACCGGAAAACAATAAAAAATGATTTCCACCGCTAGTACATATATTATTTATTTACTTAATTAAAACCTAAATAATTGAAAAATAATTCCCATTGTACAAATATTATTTATTTACGTAATTAAAACCTAAATAATTAAAACATCAGGGTGTTTGTACATATATTATTTATTTACATAATTGTCCCCCGCCTTTCGAAGAAAGCAGGGGACTATTAAAATGGGTCCGTCCGTCTGTCTGTCCGTCACACTGTTTGGGACACAATAACTCTCTTTCTAATTGAGCTAGAATGTTTAAACTTGGTGTAGTTGTTTATTAGGTTAATGCCTTGATGGAGTTCGAAGATGAGCATTTTCTGCTTAGGGTAAGCAGAGATAAGCAATTTGATTGGTTGATGCTTTGGGACACGATAACTTTAGTTCTAATTAAGTGAGAGTGAGGACACTTGGTGTATAGTTTTATCACATTAATACCTTGACTAAGTTCCATAATAAGCATTTTCTGCTTAGGGTAAGAAGAGCAATAAGCAGTTTGATTGGTTGAGACTTTGGAACATAATAACTCTTATTCTAGTTGAGGTAGAATGTTCAAACTTAGTGTAGGCGTTCATTAGGTGAATGTCTTGATGGAGTTCAAAGATGGGCATTTTCTGCTTATGGTAAGCAGAGATAAGCAATTTGATTGGTTGATGCTTTGGGACACGATAACTTTAGTTCTAATTAAGTGAGAGTGAGGACACTTGGTGTATAGTTTTATCACATTAATACCTTGACTAAGTTCCATAATAAGCATTTTCTGCTTAGGGTAAGAAGAGCGATAAGCAATTTGATTGGTTGAGACTTTGGAACACAATAACTCTCCTTCTAGTTGAGGTAGAATGTTCAAACTTTGTGTAGGCGTTCATTAGGTGAATGTCTTGATGGAGTTCAAAGATGGGCATTTTCTGCTTAGGGTAAGCAGAGATAAGCAATTTGATTGGTTGATGCTTTGGGACACGATAACTTTGGTTCTAATTAAGTGAGAGTGATGAAACTTAGTGTATAGTTGATAATCAGTTTGATTGCTTGATACTTTTGAAAAAAATAAATGTGCGATTATGTGTCATCTATTTATTTTAGGATTTCGGCAGGGGACATCAGCCTCACTCTTGGCTGGTTTCTAAGAATTATCAACACATCAGTTTGTTGAAATTTCTTCCAGGAGCCACATTTAAACCCTTGGTGGGTGGGATCTGTCCAACAGGCTGCATGTTTGACATCCCTGTTCTAAGTGAAATATATGGGATTATTTCTTCACCTTATCTAGATGATAAAGCACACATTTTTTTCATGAGTAACACGATACATTATCATGGCCGACAAAACCATACCCATGGTTTACCTAATAATAATGGGCCATGGTCCTGTTGTAACTGTTGTTGAACTTTAAATTTCATCCCTCTCTGACAGTTATTTGTTGTAGTTATGTTTTTGGGGTCCCATTCATCGATAATTTAGATTAAATTAGCATTGTGTATCGTATGTAGCTGAGTTTAATTGGACAAATTAAGAAGATAGTACCGATCTTATTATATCAAACATAAATTATTTTTAAAGATATTTTATTTTTCAGGCTGAGGTAGAAGAAACACTTAAAAGAATCCAGAGTCATAGAGGAGTGCAGGGAATAATTGTGGTCAATTCAGACGGTTAGTCTTTTCAGTTTCTGTAATGATGTTGAAAAAGTATAAATATATGTAGAACTAGTAAGTTATTACTATTAGATCAGTCTATTTACAAAATTTATATAGGGATGAAAGTTGAGAAAAGATTAACATCAGGTCCAGAAATAACAATTTTGTTTGTACTGACAAAATTGATGTTTTACCAGACATTTTATACACCTACATTTAATGTGGATGTATATTGCCACTGAGGGTCCATCATCAGTTTCTTTAGAACACTACATATCAGAGTTCTTGTCAGATTTATTTTCTTCAAATTCAGAGACCAAACTGTTCTTTTGTTCATAAGGCAGAACCATATCAGAATTTAAAAAAAAAAATTGTCAGATTGTTCAGTAGAACATAAGGAATAACCTGTGGAATTAAAAAAAAAATAGGTGTCATAGATATTTTTATGTTTAGATTTACCTTTAAAACTACATGTAGGGATTTGTTAGCTGAGAATGATTCTAGATTTAGAATGGACGTTTTTGCTTCTGGTGAGCGTTACAAATATCAACATAATACAGCAAGAGGAAAAATCTGTACATGATAGAATGTCAAAAGCCTATTTCTGTGTATTATTGTACTCTACAGATTACACTACATGTACTTTCATTTTTTAAAGGTATTCCAATCAGAAGCACTTTGGATAATTCCACAACAGTGCAGTATGCTACTTTAATTCACAAATTAGCACAAAAAGCTAGAAGTGCAGTACGAGAACTAGATCCACAAAATGACCTCACATTCTTCCGTATACGATCAAAAAAAAACGAGATTATGTGTGCACCAGGTACGTCATAATTTTGTAAATGGTAGAGACACTTGAATGATTTTTGCTGCTATTTGATCAAGCCATGATCCCAATGCTATAGCCTATATCCTAAAATGATTTGATTACAATATTATGCTTAATCTTGAATCTGCATGCTTAATCTCAAAGTTTCACATAGTCAAATTATTTTAATTACTAATACTGATGCTTCTTCGTATTCAAATAACTTTGCACTTTTTTTTCATATTTTTACTGTTATTTAAAGCCGCTGATCGTCATTTGCAATTTTCAGAAAGTATCTAATATTTCACAGCTTAATCCTGGCTAAAATGTACTCAAAGTCAGATTAGTTATTTAACAATTATTTGAAGATGTATTATGATGTAATATTTAGATAAAGAGCTGGCTGTTCTTGCTATGATAGTTCAAAAATAGATAAGTCTCGATTATCTAGATTGTTGTACTCTTAAATGGCTGTGGTTTTCAAATCTACTTAAAATCCGGGCCACCAGGTGATTATGGGCTTGTTATGTTAATAAATGTTTAAATAAATTATTTAACATTTGAAGCCAGAAAAAGACATGCAATAGGTAGATTTAGCTCTTTCATAATGCATCTTTAAGAAAACAAAATATCACACTGTTGTAGTTTGCAAGGGATTAAAAAATCTCTCAAATGACGATCAGAGACCTTACAACCAACCTTCTTAACTTATATTATAAACATATGTAAACAAAGAGGGTGTCAAAAATAGTTCTTATCCAGATTATTAACAGAAGTGCAATATTAAGATTCTTTTTATTAGTTTATATTAGGACCAGTGATGGGATTTCAAAAAATTTCATGTCGGACATTTTTTCCCGAAAATAAAGGGGCATTCTTATCGTATTTAAGCAGACGTTTTCAAAACACAATTAAGAATCATGTGTCAACAAAATATATTCAAATTCATATGTAAAAAGAAAATAGGTGCACCTCGTTATATTTCATGGTTAAAACCCGTATGGTATTCAAATTTATGTCAATAATATTCCTACAAAATTACATGACATCGTAACACTATAGAAGAATTGGCAGCGTGCCGACTGCTGCCGATCTGTTTCAAACTCCCCCCAAATTACCATATTTTTCGGGTCATACGTCGGTACATTTTTCAGCAAAGTCCGACATTCGTCTGATACTCCGTTTCGATTTATATACGGAAGGTAAAAAAAATGACATCCCGAAATTTATTTGGCCGTAAACCGTAGTTAACGACGCCCTAATGAGCGAGTGACACCAATTGCTAAATAATTGCATTCGACTGTAGCACGCGCTATCGTCTAAAACAATTAACTACTTACGTCATTCCAATCGAAATATTCGTCAACATTTCTTAGCGTGTTTATTTATTTATTTAAAGACATAAACCCCCTTCAAAATATGATCATAAATCCGACAATATGCTATCAAAATAGAATCTTTTCTCAAACATCAGGCATATTGGATTCAGCACGTATACATCTCTTAATTTCACGTGACTCGCGAGATTTGTACTTTCATTTTAATTACTGAACTCTATAAGCGCCATGTGTGTGAAATATCTTTATTTAACTTCGGCTTCCACCGAAAATATATCACAGACAAGTTAAAATATATCACAGACAAGTTATCGGATACAATGTATGTTGATTTGAGGTGTTATATACTATCAGGATATGTGACATATATGACTAATTTCTACGTGTTATTGTCCGACACAAAGGAGATTAAAACGTGAGACAATGGTCAATGGAGAAATCACGGGTTAATCAGATTAAGTTTATAATCACTGTTATTGGATTGATATATCGTCCGACAAAAGAGAAGCAATGACTTCTGTTCAGGATTGATTTGATGAATTGTCCGATAAAGAATTAAGTCAGCCAATCAAGGCAGAATAGTAGTTAATCAAGGTAGGTGTGTAAGACGATATAACACGATAAAGTCGATCACTTAATTACCTAATCAATCCAGCCTATTATCAACGATAATCAGGTTGCACGGTAGTTATACACTCAGTACACTATATTAATTTTGGAATTTGAATATTATTCACCATGTCTTGATGTCCGATTGGGCATATTCCCGGTCGGACAATTTTGGGCGTTTCGAAAAAAGATTCGGACAAGTCCGGAATATACAGGTAAAATCCCATCACTGATTAGGACTCTTATTATGTATCAATTTGAGATACAGTACACTTCTGTTGAGAAATGTGTGGGAATTCTGAATAACGAAAGATCAAATTTTTGATTTAGTACACTTTGTTTAGAAACTTTTTCAACTAAAATCTGCTAACATAGTTACTAATACTAAGTATTAATAATCTTTTTCTCTAACAGGTAATGAGTATTTACTGCTTGTGATCCAGAAACCTGATTCATCCTAAATGTAATATGGCCAAAGCTTTTCTCATCTTCACTGCCTATCATGTCTATTATTATATTGTACATAGGGGCCTTTTGGGTAAACTTTATTACAGGGACAAAAGAGAAATAAATATTTTTTTTGATATTTTATTTGATTCAAATTACTTCTTTATAATAAATAACAGGACACAATTTTTATGGGAAACAATTGCTGGTTTTATTCTAAAAGCATGGTATTTCGACAAGTATTCTCTCATCATTATCAAACACAATGACATTTAGTAAACTTAGGTATATATATTTACTAAATGTCATTGTGCTTGATAATGATAAGAGGATACTTGTCGAAACGTTGTGCTTTTAGAATAAAACCAGTGATTGTTTCCCATAAAAATTGTGTAATGTTAAGGTGTTTTTCAATTGCTAAATACCACTTAAAGATTATACTTCGTTAAAAACTTGAGTCCTTGAAAACAGAATTTTTAGATTAGGTTATTTAAATAATACCAGTATCACCTCTATAATATTAATTGAAATTCTTGACATCATAGATCTTCCTTTACTAATCTGCCAATTATATTTTTATACGCCCACATGGAAATGTGGTCGTATATTGCCGTCGCCCCCGTCCGTCTGTCGGTCCGTCGTCCACAATTTCTTGTGAACACTCTACAGACTACATTTATCATCTGATTGTTTTGAAATTAATATGTGTTTTCATTAGTGAGATGAAGAAGCCTATTTAATTTCAATAACTTCTGTTAATTTCTTCTGGAGTTATGGCCCTTGTTTCACCTTGTTGCACCTTGTGAACGCTCTAACAACAAAAGTTATCAACCGATCTGTATGATATTTATATGCATCATTTAAATTAGTAAAACAAAGAAGCCTATTGAATTTCAGCAATTTCCGTTAATTACATCTAGAGTTATGGCCCTTGTTTCACTTTGTTGAATCTTGTGAACGCTCTAATGACAACAGTTATCATCCGATCTGTTTGAAATTGATATGCATCATTTAAATTAGTGAAACAAAGAAGCCTATTGAATTTCAGCAATTTCCGTTAATTACGCTGTGAGTTATGGCCCTTGTTTCACTTTGTTGTTCCTTGGGAACATTCGAACGACAAAAGTTATCATCCGATCTGTATGAAATTTATATGCATTATTTGAATTAGTAAAACTAAAAACCCTGTGGAATTTCAACAATTTCAGTAGATTACTTCCAGAGTTACAGCCCTTGTTTTAGTTTTTAGAACCTTGTGAACCCTCAAACAACGAAAATTATAATGCCATCTGTATGAAATTGTCTTATTAAATTCCCCTAATTAGCTACAAATGAAATAAATATCAAACGACGAAAATTATAATGTCATCTGTATGAAATTGTCTATTAAATTCCCCTAATTACCTACAAAAGAATAAATATGCGACAACCCTTGTCGACTGCTCGGACGATTTAGCTGCTGTGGGCGTATGTTTTGTTGCCTGGCAACCTATCTTTTTATATATAAAAGGCTGCTTTCATCTTATAATGGTAATTATTTATGCACAAATGTAACAGTATTAGTATTAGTTGTCTATTATTACTAACTATAACCTTATTAGTTTGGTTTAATTATATTTCTTTTGTTCAAGTTTTTGTTTATGGAGTTCTCTCCCTTCAACCAAATTATTATACGTCCACATGAAATGTCGTCGCCCCTGTCCGTCCATCCGTCCACAATTGTTTGTGAACAGTCTACAGGTCACAATTTTTATCCGATTTCAATGAAACTTGAAATATAGGTTTATCACCCTAAGATCTCTGTTCCTTTCGATATTGACATGTATCGGACTGTAACTTCATGGATTATGGCCCCTGATTGTACGAAAAATCACGTTTTTAGCTTGTGAACACTGTAGAGGTCACAATTTCTATCCGATTTGGTTTAAACTTGAAATCTATGCTTATAACTCAAAGATCTCGGTTCCTTTCGATATATTCGCGCATATCGAATTGTAATTTCCTGAATTATGGCCCTTGATGGTAGGAAAAATCACTTTGTTTTTAGCTTGTTCTCTATCCATCTCTCGAAAATGTGGGCGTATCCTGCCTGGCAGCCGCTGGTTTTTGATCAGGTATAAAACGCGAACAATCGTAAATAATAGCCTTTACAATAATTATTTCAAAAGCCATTATCTTCTGAAGTCAGCATACTACCCTGTCTAATAGGCCACCACAGTTGAAGGATGTTTGGTTCTGTGTGATTTACTTGACAAAAAGTAAATTCATGAAGACGAATCTTTACTAATCCATTCATTTAAAGCACTAATTAATATTGTGTAAAAATGCATATTAAATACACATACCTCAGGATAGTCTACTCTGATTGGATAACCTGCTCTAATACTAATTGATAACATGATTGTTGGTACATCACACTCAGCGATATGACTTCTAGATTATGTTAGTAGAGAACATTCCCTAATAACCTGAATAAACTTGACCCATGCTTTATAATACACAATGTTTAGTGATGATTATTGTATACTATACATTGTGATCCAAGATAACTTCCTCTTGGGTAACTATAATGTATGTCAAGGTAGTGATGAAATATCATGACCGTGTGGAAAGATGTTTTTATACGCCCACATGGAAATGTGGTTGTATATTGCCGTCGCCCCCGTCCATCGGTCCATCGTCCACAATTTCTTGTGAACACTCTACAGACTACATTTATCAACCGATTGTTTTGAAATTGATATATGTTGTTTGCATTAGTGAGATGAAGAAGCCTATTTAATTTCAATAACTTCTGTTAATTTCTTCTGGAGTTATGGCCCTTGTTTCACCTTGTAAACGCTCTAACGACAAAAGTTATCAACCGATCTGTATGAAATTTATATGCATCATTTAAATTAGTAAAACAAAGAAGCCTATTGAATTTCAGCAATTTCCGTTAATTACATCTAGAGTTGAATATTGTGAACGCTCTAATGACAACAGTTATCATCCGATCTGTTTGAAATTGATATGCATCATTTAAATTAGTGAAATGAAGTAGCCTATTGAATTTCAGCAATTTCCGTTAATTACGCCATGAGTTATGGCCCTTGTTTCACTTTGTTGTACCTTGTAAATGCTCTAACGACAAAAGTTATTATCCGATCTGTATGAAATTTATATGTATCATTTAAATTAGTAAAACGAACAAGCCTATTGAGTTTCAGTTATCACCTAAATTAGTGAAATGAAGACAAACAAGCCTATTGAATGTCCGCAATTTCCATCAATTATGTCTAGAGTTATGGCCCTTGATTTACTTTGTTGAACTTTGTGAACTTTCGAACAACAAAAGTCATCATCCGATCTGTATGAAATTCATATGCATTATTTGAATTATTAAAACGAAAAAAGCCTGTCGAATTTGAACAATTTCTGTAGATTGCTTCCAGAGTTACGGTCCTTGTTTTAGATTTTAGAACCTTCAAACAACGGAAATTATAATGTCATCTGTATGAAATTGTCTATTAAATTCCCCTAATTACCTACAAAAGAATAAAAATGTGACAACCCTTGTCGACTGCTCGGACGATTTAGCTGCTGTGGGCGTATGTTTTGTTGCCTGGCAATCTATCTTTAGTATTAGTTACCCATCTAGTAATATTCGTATAATTTTAGAACTCTTTTATAGCAAACTATCCTAGGTAGTTTAAATTATATATAGATGATACAAGACTAAACTAACTCAATTGGCAAAATGCAGATGTTAATTTCAAGAAATGACTCCTTTGTGGTTCATGATGAGGAATTATAAAACTCAGTCTACTCCAGTTTATTGTGCATAATGCATAAATTCAGCTCTTAACATCCTGTTGAGATTATATTGATTTTTTCAGACAAAGAATACATTTTGATATGCATTCAAGACCCGGAAGCGTGAAGACTGTAAAATCCAGCAATTATATATGATTTGATTCAATTCACAATCAAGGGTTTCTGGAATATTATTGATTAAAATTCTATGTATTTGTAGAGGATATTTGTTATCGAACTCTGGAATATTATTCATTTTATCATTATCTATCCTAATTTTTATTTCATTATTTATTCATGACTTCACAAATAAACAGACCTTATTTTGAAAAAAAAAATCTTGGCACTTTGTATATAAAAATTCAACATAATTTAATAATGTTAGAATTCTTTCAATATTAGGAATTTATGTATTGCTCCTCTTTGCTTGTAATTTTACTGTATAGTAATATTATATTATTAAAAAATTGTTTTCCGTTTGTATCTAAGAACATTTTTTTGCTCATATTAGTCATATACCAACATAAAAATTAGGAGGAGTAAGAATTTACACAAAGATAAAAGATAAACCATTTTAATGGGAATGGGTATAGTATGTAAGCTGGATGACTTTAATTTTAAACATTTTTGTCCCCTGTATTAACCTACTGTGCCAGGACCTATTTTAACGTGCCTACAAGGCACGTCCGTGCCTCTGGATAAACATTCTGTGCATATTTATTCCTCTAAAGTTATTAATAACACTAAAAACCTATAAGGAGTAACGACCCATGAAGTAATTATCTGCAATAATTAACAAAATTTGATTGGCTTCCAGTTGTTCCTAGTGCCAACATTTATTATACAAACCATGTACTAGTAATCGATGAGCATCAAGAAATTTATCAATAAACACTAATGGTCTAATGTCGAAATTTCTACAAAATGTTTCAGATTGATCAAGGGGGATAACTGTTGAAAACGAAAAGACTTCATGTCATGAACACTATGGTGATACTCGATTGAAGGTTCCAGAATTAAATTCTATCAATTCCAAAATTAGTGTCAGTCGAGTGAAAAGGAGAATTTTGGAGTACACTCATGACAGCTGAAACATATATGTTACTTAAAATACGTCACAATTCTACTCACACCACCTCAGCTGGCAGATCTGTGACCGGGCTGAATTCCATATCGCAATTCTGTCAATTCGGGACGTTCCAGACTGACAATTGAGCACCCCCTATAAATTTCAATCGGATGATAACTTTTATCTCTGGAGCTTCTAAAATTATTTTTGGATAGACACATGACAATATTGGACCAGGTTTCGTTGTGGGCATATAAAGCGGCTACAGCAAGTCAATATCTGGGCATGGAAATGGTAATGTGCAGGAAAGATTTTCTGTCTATTCTAGAATTTACTATTAGTGCCATGGATTTATTTGCTGTACAGTGTAACTGAAGTGCTGCCAATGTATATGCAAGTGGATCATCTATTCCCTCAAGCACCATCCCTGACATACAAGTACCAATTTGAAAAATCCTGAAGGTTGTTTTTGGCCCACTCAAATTTAAACACAAGACATTCTAGTAAAGAATTGTCTTCTGTGAAGAAAAATGAAACTGATACAAATTACTAAATCAAATATAATGTAGTTTGTCAAAATACATAACTCAAAAATAAATAAAAACAATACGCCCTGAAAACAAATAAGTCACAAAAACAATACACCCTGTAAACAAATAAGTCATAGATGATGTCTCACTCAATGGTATTTCTACTGACTAATGTAAATTTTGAGCACTTAAATCCATAAATTGGTGCTGAAAATTGCATATTTATGGTGTCTGTCAATAACAGGTACATAATAAATCCCTGTATCAATTAATTCATTCCTAAAACTTTTATATTTAACAATAGTATGGGTTAATATATATACTCTAACACTTTACCCTGGTCTAGGAAATAGAACACGTTGTGTCATATTCTTACTTCCCTTGGCATGTTACTTGTCTTAAACATACATTATGCAAGAGCTAAATCTGTCTATTGCAGGTTTTTTTTTTTAGGCCTGAAATGTTATCTAAATTATTAATTAACCTATCCAGACCATAATAAACTCTAGATGGCATCGCTAGCCTGCGATCGTTAGTGGATTATGAGCCGATTTACTGCATAACTTTCCTTCACGATTTAACGATTAAATGGATAATCGAGACTATGCTGTTTATCGTACTGACTTTAGTAATGATGATCAAGGCTGGCCGGAAATTTCAACCGCTTAGTTCTCGGTTCATAGTGGATCAGCTAATTGCCTTTACATTAGCTAGCTTTTAACTATTATAGTGAAAACTGCCAACTCGTTATCGAATCTCCCATAATGTATACATGGATACAGTGTTTTTGTTCAAGGACAGAAAGATTTGAGAGAGAAATGGGGTTTAACGTCCACTCGACACAAACTAGGTCATTTTGGGACTAACATATGGTTCAATTTTACTTCAATAATTCACTTGCGCATGGGGGTCTTTAGCAGCGGGTGGACAGACGACCCTGCTTCTTGTCACATACAACAGGAATTTGAAACAACATTCAAACTAGACCAATGCAATCATCACTAACAAATTTTAAATACAACAATTAACATACTGGTAGTTTTAAGTTTTAATTTCTTCATCACTTAAACATACATACCCTCAAAAGTATTGGGTGGTAATTTCCCACAATCTGATTAAAATACAGATCTATATTCCGTTCCGTTTTTGTATACTTTTGATGGCCTCTACTACATGAAGATTTGACCAGTTGTAGTGGGAGGTTGTGTTGTCTGCCAGCTTGACTTAATAGGTAGGGTTGTTATTTCTTGATCAAATGGTTAAACGGCAGAAAAACAAGTTGGCAGAAAATAATTCAAGAATTTACTTAGGCCTCCGTACGTATGGTAAATGGACAATAACTAATGACAAATACATTCTGAAAAATGGACCCTCCCTCAATCAAGGTAGGTGACAAACATGGCTTCTAAAAATAGATTTTTTTATAGTTTGGTGTATCTCCCTGCAAATACACAGTTTTGAGAGGGATTTGAAGTAAATTTTTGATAGATTAATTAGTTTGAATATTTTTTTAGTCTAAAATATATCATCAAATCAATCACACAGTTTGTACAAGGGAAAATATCTTTAAAAGACAACATTTCTAAATAAATTTACATAATATATTTCTTTACACACATACAAAAGCATACCCTCAAAGACATGTCATTTTAATAATATTAGTACTAATGACTACGTACATGTATTTCAAATACAGTAAACTTCGCATAAGTCGGATCTAAATGGACTGATCGATTTTATCCGAGTTATGCGAAGATCCGAGTTAGCCGAGGACCTAGTTCAGCTCTGAACATAGGTCTCATTATCGCCCTGTACGTTCAGGTATCGTCCTATTGAATACATGTCGAAATAAAATTGGTTCCCAGTCAATTTTACTGGGCAACTTTTTACTGCTAAACGGTTGTATGTCATTCTCTGTGAACGCCTGAACAATGTACAGGAACATTTTAGTGAGAAAATAAGACCTTGCTTACCTCGCTAGAGTCTGTATGTGCAACACAACATGGTGTTAAAATTGAGTCCCCTTCTGCTAAACGGCTTTGGCACGGGCCATATATAACGAAACGAAATTTAGGTAAGCTGGGGTGGGAAAAAATTAGAATCATTAAAAAGTTGAGAAACTTCAGTCAATTATTGCTTTGCCTAGCCCAATTAAAATCAAAAATTCCAATTTCGTTTCATCTTAAATGGCCGAGTTGCGCAAATTTGTGAGCTGCCCAGTATTTGGAGGAGGGGGTCGTATTTTTAACAGCATGTTGTGAACATACTGCTGATCCGACTTAGGCGATGGTAATGAAGCCGGAATTAGATCAAATGGACCTAACAATTTGATCCAAGTTGAGCAAAGATCCGACTTACGCGCAGATATTTAATAAGAACCAGCGGCTGCCAGGCAGGATACGCCCACATTTTCAAGAGATGGATAGAGAACAAGCTAACAAGAAAGTGAGTTTTCCTACTATCAAGGGCCATAATTCAGGAAATTACAATTCAATATGTGCGAATATCAAAAGGAACTGAGATCTTTGTGTTATAAACTTACATTTCAAGTTTCAACAAAATCGGATGAAAATTGTGACCTCTATAGGGTCCACAACCTTGATATACCATATTTTTACGCTATTTGAGAACGAACGGCGGCCATTCGAACTCAACCTTCCTTAGGGTGTAACGGTGATATAATAATACGTTTTTTTTAAATCGGATAAAAATTATGACCTCTATAGGGTCCACAGGCTAAAAACGCGATTTTTCGTACAATCAGGGGCCATAATTCAGGAAGTTACGGTCCGATATGCGCGAATATCAAAAGGAACCGAGATCTTTGTGTTATAAACTTACATTTCAAGTTTCAAAAAAATCAGATAAAAATTGTGACCTCTATAGGGTCCACAAGCTAAAAACGTGATTTTTCGTACAATCAGGGGGCCATAATCCATGAAGTTTCGATCCGATACATGCTAATATCGAAAGCAGCCGAGATCTTTTGGGGATAAACCTATATTTCAAGTTTCGTCAAAATCGGATAAGAATTGTGACCTGTAGAGAGTCCACAAACAATTGTGGACGTCCGGACGGACAGCATAATACGTCCACATGAAAACGTGGCCGTATAAAAACGTGCAGGATCAAAGGGTCCAAACGATTTTATCAGAGTTGAGCGAAGGTCCGACTTATGCGAAGTTTACAGTAGACGTTTACATAAAGCCACAAAATAAAAATTATTCCACTTCTGCTAAAATGTTATCTGTTAAACCGTTCACATCAGCTATCCTATCTATTTGTCTTTTATAGAGATTCATGTCATTCATAAAACTAGGTATTTTAGTATTTTCTAATTCACAAATATCTTCTAATAACTCAATATCCCTGTGGGAGACTTTACCTAGTCTGACCAATAGACTAAAATCTAAGGTGTGGCGTCTTTTAAGTATCTGTAGAGCTCCATCTAGATATACTTGATCTTTGCAAAATGACCCTTAAAATATATAAAATATTCTGTGCTTTAGAAAACTATTTGAATTAGTTTTCTGAACAAAGAACCAGTGGCTGCCGAGCAAGATACGCCCACATTTTGCAAGACATGGATAAAAAAACAAGCTACAAACAAAAGCGAATTTTTGTACAATCAGGAGCCATAATCCAGAAAGTTATGGTCTCAAATGCACAAATATCGAAAGGGATTGAGATCTTTGGGATATATATGTTTTAAGCTTCATCAAAATTGGATAAAAATTGTGACCTCTAGAGGGTCCACAACCTTTGTATTACATACTTTTACACAATTTGCGTTCAAAGAAGGCCATAATCCAGGAAGTTACATTCAGATATGCGTGATTATCAAAAGGAACTGAGATCTTAGTGTGTAACAGTGATATATTAGTTAATAACACGTTTTTTTAAATCGGATAAAAATTGTGACCTCTACAGGGACCAAACGTGCTAAAAACAAGATTTTTTGTACAATCAAGGACTATAATTCAGAAAGTTATGATCCGATATGCACAAACAGAACCAAGATCTTTGGATTATAAACATGTATTTCAAGTTTCATCAAAATCGTATCAAAATTATGAGCTCTAGAGGGTCTACAACCTTGATATACCAGATGCTTACACTATTTGCTTACGAGGAGCGGCCATTTTGTCCAGCAGTTTTGGTCAGATTTTCAAGAAATTCGAACTCAACCGTCATTTACGGTATAATGTCGTGGTTAATTAATTGTTTGTTTCTCATGACCTACCCGCATGTCCGTTTTCATCCGTAATAATTATGCACTTCCATAATGATTTGGTCAAATTTAGGGAGGTCACAAATTCGTCCTGTAAAATTTGTAAAACTATATTTGTTTGCCTTCAAATATTAACAATGAATTGAGACATTAAAATCGACTATTTATCGATAAACAGGACACTGTAGGTGATAAGTAAAGTCTAGTAGGCAAGAACGTGAAAAAATATACAAAGTCCATATGTGAAACTAGAAGTTAAAAGATAGGTTGCCTGCAACAAAACATACACCCACAGCAGCTAAATCGTCCGAGCAGTCGACAAGGGTTGTCGCATATTAATTCTTTTGTAGATAATTAGGGGAATTTAATAGACAATTTCATACAGATGACATTATAATTTTTGTCGTTTGAGGGTTCACAAGGTTCTACAAACTAAAACAAAGGCCGTAACTCTGGAAGTAATCTACAGAAATTGTTAAAATTCGACAGGATTTTTCATTTTACAAATTCAAATAATGCATATAAATTTCATACGGATAATAACTTTTGTCATTCGAACGTTCACAAGGTTCAACAAAGTAAATAGGCTTCTTCATTTCACTAATTTAAATGATGCATATGAATTTCATACAGATTAAGTGCTGACTTTTGTAGTTCCAAGCGTTCACAAGATTCAACAAATTTAATTAAGGGCCATAACTCTAGATGTAATTAACGGAAATTTGTTGAAACTCAATACTCAATAGGTTCGTTTCACTAATTTAAACGATAAATATAAATTTTATACAGATCGGACAATAACTTTTGTTGTTAGAGCATTCACAAGGTACAACAAAGTGGAACAAGGGCCATAACTCACAGCGTAATTAAGGTAAATTGCTGAAATTCAATAGGCTTCTTCGTTTCACTAATTTAAATGATGCATATCAATTTCAAACAGATCGGATGATAACTGTTGTCATTAGAGCATTCACAAGATTCAACAAAGTGAAACAAGGGCCATAACTCTAGATGTAATTAACGGAAATTGCTGAAATTCAACAGACTCTTTATTTCACTAATTTAAATGATGCATATAAATTTCATACAGATCGGATAATAACTTTTATCGTTAGAGCATTCACAGGGTACAACAAAGTGAAACAAGGGCCATAACTCACAGCGTAATTAACGGAAATTGCTGAAATTCAATAGGCTTCTACGTTTCACTAATTTAAATGATGCATATCAATTTCAAACAGATCGGATGATAACTGAACTGGTGTCATTAGAGCGTTCACAAGGTTCAATAAAGTGAAACAAGGGCCATAACTCTACATGTAATTAAAGGAAATTGCTGAAATTCAATAGGCTTCTTTGTTTTACTAATTCAAATGATGCATATAAATTTCATGCAGATCGGTTGATAACTTTTGTCATTAGAGCGTTCACAAGGTGCAACAAAGTGAAACAAGGGCCATAACTCCAGAAGAAATTAACGGAAGTTATTAAAATTAAATCGGCTTCTTCATCTCACTAATATGCCAACAACATATATCAATTTCAAAACAATCAGATGACAAATGTTGACAAATGTAGTCTGTAGAGTGTTAACAAGAAATTGTGGACGATGGACCGATGGACGGACGGACGGACGGGGGCGACGGCAATATACGACCACATTTCCATCCTTCATGAGGCACTTGTCAATTGTAATAAAATTCACGGAAAGATATAAATGTCTTTAAATAAGTGCTAAAATTCGATTTCAACCTTCATTATGGTGTTACGGTGAATATATTTAAATGGTTTTTAAAATCGGAAAAAAAATTGTGACCTCTAGATAATCCACAAGCTAAAAATGTGATTTTTCGAACAATCATAATTTTTATCCAATTTAAAAAAACGTTTTAGTATATCAACGTTACACCCTAAGAATGGTTGAGTTCGAATTTCGTGAAAATCAGCCCAAAACTGACAGACAAAATAGCCATCCCTCGTTCTCAAATAGCATAAAACTATAGTATATCAAGGGTGTGGACCCTCTAGAGGTCACAATTTTCTTCTGATTTTGATGAAACTTGAAATGTAAGTTTATAACCCAAAGATCTCGTTTTCCTCCCAATATTCACACAAATCGGGTCGTAACTTCCTGAATTATGGCCCCTGATTGTACGAAAAATCACGTTTTTAGCTTGTGGACCCTATAGAGGTCATAATTTTTATCTGATTTAAAAAAATGTTTTAGTATATCACCGTTACACCTTAAGAATGGTTGAGTTTGAATTTCGTGAAAATCAGCCCAAAACTGACAGACAAAATAGCCATTCCTCGTTCTCAAATAGCATAAAAATATGGTATATCAAGGTTGTGAACCCTCTAGAGGTGACAATTTTCTTCTGATTTTGATGAAACTTGAAATGTAAGTTTACAACCCAAAGATCTTGGTTCCTCTCGATATTTGTGCGTATCGGATCGTAACTTCCTGAATTATGGCCCCTGATTGTACGAAAAATCGTTATTTGTTTAGCTTGTTCTCTATCCGTCTCTTTTCGGCCAATCAAGGGCCATAATTCAGGATGTTACGATCCAATATGTGCGAATATCGAAAGGAACCAAGATCTTTGGGATATAAACATGTATTTCAAGTTTCATCAAAATCGGATCAAAATTGTGACCTCTAGAGTTGCCACAAGCTAAAAACGTGATTTTTTGTACAATCAGGGGCCATAATCCATGAAGTTATGGTCCGATACATGCCAATATCAAAAGGAACCAAGATCTTTGGGAGATAGATCTATATTTCAAGTTCCATCAAAATCAGATAAAAGTTGAGACCTGTACAGTGTCCACAAACAAATTGTAACCGCTAGGGGATCCACAACCTTAATATACCAGATGTATATTTGCATATGAGGGGTAGCCATTTTGTCTGGCAGTTTTCACAAAATTCAAATTCAACCAACATTACGGTGTAATGGTGATATTTTCGAACGGTTCCAGTTTTTAAAATTGGAAAAAAAATTGCGACCTCTAGATAATCCACAAGCTAAAAATGCGATTTTTCGTACAATAAGGGGCCATAATCCATGAAGTTTCGATCCGATACATGCCAATATCGAAAGCAGCCGAGATCTTTTGGGGATAAACCTATATTTCAAGTTTCGTCAAAATCGGATAAGAATTGTGACCTGTAGAGAGTCCACAAACAATTGTGGACGGACGGACAGAGGCGACGGCATAATACGTCCACATGAAAATGTGGGCGTATAAAAAACATTTTACATACAATCAGGGGCCATAATCAAAGAAATTACTGTTCAAAATATCGAAAGGAACCAAGATCTTTGGGTTATAAACATACATTTCAAGTTTCATTAAAATCAGATGAAAATTGTGACCTCTAGAGGAGTGGCCACAAGCTAAAAACGTGATTTTTCTTACAATCAGGAGCTATAATCCATGAAGTTACGGTTCGATTCATGCCAATTTCGAAAGGAACCAAGATCATTGAGAGACAGACCTATATAACAAGTTTCATCAAAATCGGATAAAAATTGTAACCTGTAGAGTAGCCACATACAAATCGTGGACAGACAGGGGTGACAACAATATAAGTCCACATGAAAATGTGGGCACATAATAAAACAAATAACAGCATGCAATCATTTTACCTGGTTTGGACGTATCTGTTTGCCCCCGTTTTGCTCGAATACAATAATCCCATCTCACATTAGGACTGTGCACAAATTGTTCCAGATCATGAAAAAGTTCTTTAAAAGATAAAACTGAAGCTTTATAAGCTGTGTAATATAATAAAGCAGCACGCCACAGTAAGGGATCAGTCCTTGTCAAAACACTATGTAAAGATGCCAAACCTTCTTCGGTTGGGTTTAATGGTAAAAGACCTAATTCTCTTCTGGTCCTAAAGTTGGCCCATAATTGATATTGATTGTTACAGCTGCGTATATAATGGGTACCTAAAATGTGAATGTTTTATTAATATTATAAAATATTTATATATAAACTTCGAGATGTAACAGTGATTTGTGTAAAAACAAGCCAACAGTGAGGCTGATGTCCCCCGCCGAAATCCCAAAATAAATAGATGACACATATTAATTAATAGATTTATTTTTTTTCAAAAGTATCAAGCAATCAAACTGATTATCAACACTCTCAATCAGATAGAATCAAAGTTATCTTGTCCCAAAGCATCGACCAATGAAATTGCTTAGCTTTAGCTCGAAATGTTAATCATTGAACTCAGTCAAGACATTTACCTAATAATAAACATCTACATCAAGTTTAAACATTCTACCTCATTTAAAAGCAGAGTTGTTATGTTCCTAAGTCTTGACCAATCAAATTTCTTATCGCTCCTTAGCCTAAGCAAAAATTCTCATCATCGAACTTAGTCAAGGTAATGATACCAATCAAATTGCTTATCTCTGCTTACCCTAAGCAGAAAATGCTCATCTTGAACTACATCAAGGCATTGACCTAATAAACACCTATACCAAGTTTAAAGCTCAATTAGAAAGAGAGTTATTGTGTCCCAAAAAGTGTGGCAAACAGACAGACGGATGGACCGACAGACAGACAGGCGGACAAACACATTTTAATAATCCCCTGCTTTCTCCGAAAGGCGCGGGCAATAAAATGTTGTCTAAAGTGCACTGCCAACAGTCAAATCTGACATGATGATGCTAATCTAAAACTTTACTGGTCCTTACTCTTTGAAAAATACTCGGGAGTAGATAGCAATTCTGATTCAAATTCAAAGTCTTAATACACATAAATCTATGAGGACTTACCTATTTCATGGCGCAGAAGTCCTTCGGCCCACTGCTCTCTCAGATTGACAATTCTAACATTAACAGTTGGTCGACCCTTAACTTGAGTCATAGATCCACGTGAAAGTAAATCTTCACTTAAGTTTATATTAATGTCGTTCTCTAGATTTTCTTTTTTCAAATACTTTCGGACAAGAGTGTAAATATAAGGTCTATTTAAAATAGGCCCCCCTGTAATTTCCTCAAATATTTCATAACTTCCATATCTAGCTAAAGCTTTTTCCATTATGAGGATGGCCTGTAAATATAGACAAAACAAGCAGTTGCCATGCAAGATACGCCCACATTTTGCAAGAGATGGACAGAGAACAAGTTAAAAAAAGAGATTTTTCATACAATCGGGGGCTATAATCCACAATGTTATGGTCCGACATGCGACAATATAAAAAGGAACCAAGATCTTTGAGATATAAACATATATTTTAAGTTTCAGCAAAATCGGATAAAAATTGTGACCTCAAGGGGGTCCACAAACTAAAAATGATATTTTTATACAAGCAGGGGACATCATTCATGTAGTTACGGTCCGATATGCGCCAATATCGAAAGGAATCGAGAGCTTCAGGATTTAAACATATATTTTAAGTTTCAGCAAAATCGCAAAAAAATGGTGATCTCTAGAGTGACTACAGCTAAAAACGTGATTTTTCGTACAATAAGGAGTTATAATCCAGAAATTTACCGTGGATATGCATGAATATCAAAAGGAACTGAGATCTTTGGGATATAAACATACATTTCAAGTTTCATCAAAATCGGATAAAAATTGTGACATTTCTAGAGTGTTCACAAGCTAAAAACGTGATTTTTCGTACAGTCAGGGGCCATAATCCAGGAAGTTACGGTCCAATTAATGCAAATATCAAAAGGATCCGAGATCTGTGGGAGATTAACCTATATTTCAAGTTTTATCAAAATCGGATAAAAATTGAGACCTGTAGAGTGTCCACAAACACATGAAGAGGAGAGGAGCGGCGTCAATATTTGTGACCCGTCATGGCATAATGAGTTGCAATGAGGAAATTTAGAAAATTGAGTTATTTTCACATACTCCAACTCAATACCTTCAATTTGATTTATAGTTTGTTTGAATCGGGCAAAAATTGACTGAGCTGTGTCCATTTGAAGCTACCCAACACACAAAACTTTTGAGAAAAAGCAAGTCAAAGATTTGATATGTTCAAAACAAAATCCCATAGCAACCAGGCCATTTATTTGCTGTTTTGTCATTGAATATATCTTTCCAGGGGTGCTGAAGATGAAAATCGTAGTAAAAATTTGATCTGACAATTTCCGCCATTTATTTGCTATTTTGTCGTTTAATATTTTTTTATTTAGGATTTCAAGGGGGCCGAGGATGAAAATCGTAGTAAATGCGGCATACTCACATGATAGTGTTATACTGCAGAACAATCTATACATTAGTAGTCTATGTTTTGTATATTATAACTTTGGTGAGATTAACAGTTAATCTCATCAATTAATTAGCACCTTAGGGCCAGCTAGTGGTCAGGAGATTAAGGTTATTGATTGGGTAATCATCAAAGAAGCCACCACAGTTGTACACGTGTTCTTTTAACACATGAATTAAAATAAGGTTTTGCGTGTACGATAGGTCTATTATTATTTTCAGGTACCTATAGAAATGTCGACAGATAGACTCATTTTTGTGAAAATCTCAATTTCGATCAAAATTAATATTTTCACTTATTTTGTCTCTAATTCCGACTCATTTTGACATACCGAGTGACATAATATGTCCACATGAAAATGTCATACAATAATTACTAGAATTCCATTATCAAAAAGCCAACAGTGAGGCTGATGTCCCCCTCCAAAATCCCAAAAGAAATAGATGACACATTAATTAATTGAACATTTATCTTTTTCAAAAGTATCGAGCAATCAAATTGATTATCAACTATACACTAAGTTTCAGCACTCCATCAACATCAAGTTTACACATTCTACCTCAATTAAAAGCAGAGTTTTACCAATCAAATTGCTTATCACTCCTTGGCCTAAGCAGAAAATTCTCATCAAACTTAGTCAAGGTAATGATATAATGAATCTATACTTGGAGTTTCATAGCTCTCACTTAATTATAACCAAAGTTATCGTGCCCAAAACATCCACCAATCAAATTGCTTATATCTGCTTACCGTAAGCAGACAATGTTCATCATCGCACTCCATCAGGCATTCACCTAATGAACACCTACACTAAATTTAAACACTCTACCTCAATTAGAGAAGGAGAGTTATTGTGTTTCAAAGTCTCGACCAATCAAATTGCTTATCGCTCTGCTTACCCTTAGCAGAAAATGTTTATTATCGAACTTAGTCAAGGTACCGATGTAATGAAACTATACACCAAGTTTGATCACTCTCACTTAATCAGAACTAAAGTTGTTGTGTTCCAAAGCATCAACCGATCAAATTGCTTATCTCTGCTTACTCTAAGCAAAACATGTTCATCAAGGCATCAACCTAATAAACACCTACACCAAGTTTGAACATTCTGGCTCAATTAGAAGGAGAGTTATTGTATCCCAAAAAGTGTGACGGGCAGACAGACAAACAGACAGGCGGACGAACCCATTTTAATAGTCCCCTGCTTTCTTCGAAAGGCGGGGGACAAAAACCCATCCGTTTTATACTATTAATTATTGTATAACAACTTATTATCTGAATATCAAATGCATAAAAAATCATTTGTAATTGGTTTGTGTTACCTGTTTCTATTGATTGAAAGTTTCTCACATGAAAATGTGAGAGTATAAAAATATGTATTGGCTAGAGTAGGTTCTGGAATATTAACTGTTTACTTATAATAAAGTTCATAGGAAAATTTTTTTACAGGTTCAGACCTTTTCTGATCATTTCCTTATCTTGCTACCTAGTATAAAATATGGACTAAAAAAAGTATTAGGGTTTTTTATTTACCTGTGTTAAATAACGAGCGGATGGTTTGTTGAATTTTTCGATAACTGAACTATCAGCTGGATATTTGTAGATAAATAAGGGATTATAAACAAAATGAGCACGCATAAATCTTTCTTTCTCAGATTTTTCATTTTCTGGTTTAATAGCTGTCAATAAAGCAACCTTTTTCCGTCTTTCAAATGGTGGAGGTAATAGATTCTTTGGTGATGGTGTTATTCTACTTGGTACTTCTGTCAATTTTGCTGTTAGCGGACGAGATTTTAGTTCTGGAAGTTTTGCATTCATGATGTTTGCACATTTTGTATTGTTCTTGCTTGTTGAGGGAGATGACTTGACTTTTTGCTGGAATTTACTGTTTTGACTAACAGATGAAATTGACAGTTTTTTTCTTTTTCTTTTATATGATGATGACGATTTCTGTCTTATTGATGTACCATTCATTTTTATCACTAGTTAAGTTGGTATTAAAAATATAATATTCACTAGAAAATATATCATCCTTTCAAAACAGAAGATTCATCATTCAAGCTGAAAAACATAATGGAATTGGATAAGTTTTTATTTACATGTGGAATTATTATGACATTGCCCCTGTCTGTCCATCTGTGTATCCATTCACATTTTTTGTTTGTGGACACTCTAGAGGTCACAATTTTTATCCTATTTTGACGAAACTTGAAATATAGGTTTATATCCCAAAGATCTCTGTTTCTTTTGAAAATTTGTTATGCATCGGACTGTAACTTCATGGATAATGGCCCCTGATTGTACCAAAAATCATGTTTTTCGCTTGTGGCAACTCTCAGAGGTAGCAATTGATATATCCACTTTGATGAAACTTTTAATGTACGTTTATATTCCAAAGATTTCGGTTCCTTTCGGCATTGGCGCACATCGGACCATAACTTCCTGGATTATGGCCCCTGATTGTACGAAAAATCAGGTTTTTAGCTTGTAGACCTTCTACTGAAGAAACAATTTTTATTTGATTTTAAAATCATATCGTTCAAATATGTCATCATTTCTCTGTAATGATGATTGAGTTTGAATTACGTGAAAATCAGACCGAAACTGACTGACAAATTTATAATAATAATGCAACACTATATTCAAGTAGAATTATGCGATTAAAGCCACGAACCTGCATTCGCTGTCTGCACAAGCGCAAGTTTCATAGATATTGCGGACCAATTCCAACGTATTTTGTTTATGTTTTTGAATCGCAAAATTTTACTTGAAAATAGTGATGAATTATTATAAATTTGTGTCAGATGTGGCAAGAAATGATTCCTTTTGGCGAAAAAAGAAGAATCACAGTGAAAATTAGCCTTAGAACTGAGGTGGGGGTAGAGCAGTATATTGATGTTTCTGTTCTTAACGTGGACCAGCCCGTTTATGACGGTTATTTGCACATGCGGGGTGATTTTTTATATAAAACTCTGTGGTTGGTCTATGCTTCCCCACTTGCTTTGGTTTTGGACTACCACGAAGAGTGTTATATTGGATGCTTATACTTTTAGTGAGTAGACGGCTTGATGTGTTCTTATAGGACTTAAGTATATTTAATCTTTATCTGCTGCATGTTTATATATGCCTTTGTATTGCATGTTAGCTTAAATATTAATCGTATAGTAGTGGTTGCTTTTGTAGTGTTAACTTGCCTGTCTGTCTGAACACCCAACTATCACCACTACAAGACAGAAGAAAGATGGTGCGATTGACATTTTTCTTCAAGGTGCCCATTGACTCCTATCTGACTCCTATTCGTGGTAAACTGTTAATTAGACCCAAAAAAATTGACAATTATTGTAGCCTACTAGTACTAGTGGAAATATTATTAATAGACAAGCCAGTAACCATCATAACAAACTGTAAAAGTGACCAGTATAAACATTCTTTTTTCCCCAAAACAATTATTGAGTGGAATAAACTAGACTGTAGACAGTGACATTGTGCGTGCAGAGTGAGTTCGGAGCTCCAGTACAGCTCTCCATCAGTGTATAGTTAGTTACACTATTCCGCTGCAATATACCAGAAAGTCCTGCTGTGTATACATTCAGATTCAGACACCCCCTTGACCCATTTTTGCCTACACTTCGGCGATAGTGGGCGAGATAGGGTAGGGATTTACCAACCGATAGGGATTAGAGACTCAGCACGACAGCAGTGATAGTTGCGAGTGAAACGCATTCTTACTTCATTTCAGCTCAATGCAATGGGGATGAACAGCCAAATGACAGCGGCCGACCAGAATTAACTTACCGGAAATATATAATGTCACTATCACGACAATGTTAAAGTTTATAATATTGTACAGTTTTATCGTTAAAAACACAAGGCGAACAACCACAAGCCCACCACGGGTAAAACCTACCGGAAACGTGCTAAAGAATGTAAACTTCCGGTATTTTTATGGTTTCTATGTAGCCTCTGTCAATTTGACTCGCACAATGTTGGAGCAATAGCCTACATATGCAGTCGTAGTAACACCACAACAACCAAATACTCCTCGCAGTGTTTCGTTTGATTAGAGGTAATCACACTTACCACTGCTGTAAAGGAAGCAGATTTCTGTTCCAAATTATGACTAGTCAATAGTCGGATTACCAGCTAACTGCGTAACTTAATTAATATCGGACCAAATATTATGTTTACGTAACGTTACGTCATGACTCACGATTTTATTACGCCCAAATAACCAGTGCATGTAGGCCTATAGCAGAAAATTGCAGAAAAACTAATTATGTGATAAACGAGGCTATCAACACGGATACAATGTAAACAATACTGTTTGGAGACGAACAATACTTTAACCGTTTTTATTTTTAATATGTTAAATCACTGTCCAAAGTTTAATGGAAGGTCCCATCTGCAGATTAAACCGTGGGCTGTCATGTTGCTGTACTACTTCTACTTGGGATAGATTTGATTGAATGGGAAGAATAGGCACGTACACTCCCTCAAAAGCTCAAGTAGCCTATCAGAAACAAATCCAGTATTATAATGGCCAGAGAGGGATTTCTCGGATCATTGCTTCTGGAATATGCAACTTCCATCGACTGCCATTATAGCTTTGATCATTCTGCCCGAAAAGCTATAATATTGGCATTTAAAATATGGGTATATAAGTGTATAAGAATTTGAAAAAAAAAGATTAAGCTGATTATCTCCACTCGACATCACAAAATAACATGCATAGCCAAACAGATCAGCAGTAGGCCTATATAATATATATTTGCTTGACCGCTATTATCTTTTGCATTATACCACAGTGTTTACTCTGTGGTGACAAACCCCAAGATGCAGTGCGCAACCTACTTTTTATGCAAATGAGGCAGTCGCCACGCTGTGTATTTTTACTCTGTGGTGGTATCACTAAACACAAACATTTGCATGGAAATGGATTCAGCTACCCCGAAAACATATATTTTGATACCAAACTCAATCATATTATGATAATTGGGTGACAACTGGAATGTTCAAGTCAAAACCGGTGGCCATTTTGAATATTAGCTAATTTGACCTATTTGGACAAGGATTTCGGACTGGGACTTCACCAACCCTAAACCGTGGTCAGCGTTTTCATTGCAGGAACTGTCCGCACTAATATTATCTTGTCTGAACTATTCCCTCTGTGCGAATTATGCTCAATAGTCGGGGCATAACCCCAGATCCGTGACCATTTCTCGGGGAACAAGGTTGGACAATTGTATCTGATCAGTGGAGGCACCAGCCGCCGGTGGTTGGAGGAGCAAAGCTGGGGCAAAGTCCAAGGTTAAGGGGGGCAAATACACGAGCCTCAACTAGGGTTGGGGGGGGGGGGCTTTCCATTTTTTGAAAAACAGGCTGCCGGATAGGCAGTATTTCAGACACTTATCATTGAGATAAAGGACTTGCGAACCTTGACGAAGCCCACTCACGAGCGCCAGAGTAGGGAGTGCTTACGGAGGGTATGGGTGACCTCCCCAAGAAAATGCTGTCTCACAGTACCCAGAGTACTCAGTCAGGCACCGATCGTCGAGATAAATAGAGCTGACTAGATACCGTCCGTCACCAGGGGCCTGTTTCACGAAGTTTTAACTAAGATACAAATCCAAATTTTAGTAATTTGATTGGATAATATTAGATTGATTTTAGTGCTTAGCCAATCAAAATTGAAGTATCTACTAAAATTTGGATTTTATCTTTAGTTAAAATTTCGTGAAACAGGGCCCTGATCACTAGTTTATCCGACCCCAGAGAAGAAAGTGTCAAACGAACGAACTTGCGAACCTCAACAAAACCCCAGAAAATCTGAAAAATAGACTGCAGACCTACATATGTACTAATAACTACCATAAATAGGCCCCGAGCGAATTTGGAAGCCGGGTAGCCTATCCTGCTAGTCTATATAAAAAAAATCAAAGATGTGTGTATGTATGTTTGTAGCACCATGGGTCTTCTGTCTGACGTGAAGAGCGGGCCATTGATTCCGGTCGCCACATCCTACGTACGACCCATGCATCTTTTCTTACTACATATCTTAGTAGCCTTGTTGTGATCGTCTTGAATTTGTCTCTAGCTGTCTTTACTTCTGCTTCACTTTGTGTATTTACTTCTTACTGTTTTCTTAAGACGGTTGTCTTTTCAGTAGTTATAACAATGCAACAGTTCGTTTTTACATTTTATATATCAGCTGGATACATGGATAAGCATAATATAGATTACAATAATAAAGTCATTCTCTCAAACCTCTTTCAGCCAGACTCGTTGGGCGAGTCTGCTGATAGAACCTGCTACATCTTTTCCCTTCTGGAACCAAGCTGCTATCTAGGAACTCAGATGGTAAACTCTCCGGAATCTAATGAAAGTCTGACTTAAAAGTTTGCCATGATTTCTTTTATAGAACCTATGAACAACACGCACAAAACTAGTATATTCATGACCCTGAACCTGTTCAATTACTAATATGATTGGTCACTTTAGCCAAATGATGTAATTAGTAAATTTCCAAGCACATGTAATCTCGTGGTGTTTTATTAACACATACAACCAGCTATGTTTTGGCTCTACAACTCTTTTTATGTGTCAACTGTCACTTATTCACTAAGTTGATTTTAGTACAATTGTACATATATGTGAATTTAATAACTTGCCACCAAAGATATTAATTAATGAAATATACTGCCCCCATTAATTTCAAGAGCAAAAATTCTAGCAATATTATTACATGTTTACGCATCAGGATTCTTCGCCGCGATCCAACCCCACATGATATCAAATTAACCAGCATGACCCCATGAATGTTTTAGGCCATGATTTATGAAGGTCAAGATCATTTATTAGTTTAACACAGCCCAAAATCTGTGCCTGCAGCCGAACTATTTTACTGCAATTAACGATTATTATGGTAATTAAGTTTAATAATAGTAACTGATGGTATAAGCTAACAGAAAAGCGTGCGAGACAGGATGGTGCCGAGTAAGCAGATCGTGCGCCCCGGGCGAAGCCAGGTATCGAACTAGTGTGACACAATGTAGGATTGGTAGTTAGCTCTTTTGAATTTTTGCCTTAAACTATTGCGATCTACTCGTATACGCCTGAAACACAATAAAAAATTTATGCTTCCAAGTCACATGAATAGTTTTTTAGTGACCGCTACGAAATGGGGGCATTCATTGTTTTTAAAGAGGTATTGGCACTCAAGTACCGACCCATTTAAGGGGCAAATAGAAGTTATATTACAAAATCTACTTAGCAATAGTTTAAGGCAAATAGTTAAAAGAGATAAATATCAATCCTACATTAATGCAGCATTGCAGACCCCAAAATAGGGCATGGCAGGAAAATGGTGAATGGGAAGTTTTGTCTATACGATATACACACCCAACGCCCTATATGCCACAGTGTTTAACATTTTCTCAGTCGATAACACCCAAAATAACAATACTTCTCAATATGAGTGTGCAAGTCCGACATACGATTCAAAATACCCAGACTCTTGACACGTGTTTTCTGAGATTTGCTAGTCATACGACGGAATGCATTTTTATATACGGTAGTGCATTATAATGTTTTATTATTTAGTGATGCCTGGAAAAATTTATGGTAGTTATTATTACATGTGTATGTCTGTAGTCGCGAAAATGCTAAATTTTTGTATGCTATCTCCTTTCAAAATAGTTCTATCAGCTTGTACATGGCATATTCTTGTTTCTCATCCCCCAAACCCCTGAAACGACTATCACGACACATTTATGTTGTTAGTGTTGTTTTCATCGACAAGAAGGCTTGGCATATCATGGGTTTATTTCTCTTATTTGCTGCTTTTGAGATTCAAACTATAACCATAATCGGCGATGAAGGTATTAATTGTATGGCTCTTTGATGTATTTAGACATTTATACTACTTATTATATCTTATTTTACATATGGTTCCACGCGGACATAAAATCAAAAGTCTAAACATAAAGGACAATCGCAGAGTACAAAATCGGATCTTGACAAAGTAAATAAATGTAATTACTTATAACAAATGAGATTGTATATTGAAATTGCGCTTGATCAACTGAAAAATTAAATTGTACAATGTATCAAATGGACTGTATATTGAAAATGAGTTGTATTTATAGATGTTAAAAATGTCTATTATCAATTTGAATTATTATCATGAGCTAACATGTATTGAGTGTACTATGGGCCTTTGGCCTAATATGCATTGAAAATAAATTTTTATTATTGAGTCCGGTGGCCAACAAAACCTAAACGAGAGCATCGCTAACGCTGCAATATACGTCCACATTCCAGCCTTGATTGATATGGTACTTTTTAAAATGAAGAGAATGAAATATGAAATGGCTGTAATATGACAAGAGGCAAAGAAGGGTTTGTTTTGCCAAATTTACAGACAAAATATTAATAAAAAAGTGGGTGTCACACTACCCCAGGAGGTCGGGACAAGCACCAAAATAAATAGTTGCTGTCTTTACGGTATAAGGAATAAATGTGCAAAGATGATCCATTCAGAATTGCAGTCTGTAGACGATAAATACAAAAAATGGGCGTGGCTCTGCCCCTGGGGGTTGGATATGGAACAATATAAATAGGTACCACCCTGTTATTGAAATGACTACATCAATAGTTGCCGTCCTTAGGGTATAAGGAATAAGTATACCAAGTTCCAAGATAATCCATTCAGAATTGTGGCGTTCGAGCGCCAAAGGCAAAAATTGGGCGTGGCTCTGCCCCTGGGGGTCGGGGCATTCAAGAAAATCAATAGTTGACGCCCTTTGGCTATAAGGAATATATATGCCAAGTACCAAGTTGATCCATTCAGAATTCCGGCCTGTAAATGATAAACACAAAAATTGGGTGTGGCTCTGCCCCTGGGGGTCG